TATTTATAAAAGTAAAAAAAAAGTAAAGTTACAGCCTATATACGTCCCACTGCTGGGCACAGGCCTCCTCTAATTTCTGAGAGGGTTTTAAGGCAAGGAAATGTCCGCCACGCTGCCTCAATGCGTGTTGACGAACTTCACATGTCTTCGAAATATATATTTTTTAATTTCTCAGACATGCAGACCCGAGTTCGATCCCCGCCGGCACCAATGAAATTGTTAATTGCAATTGTGCTGATTTACCACGTGCTCGGCGGTGAAGGGAAACATATTGAGGAAACCTGCACGTCTGAGAATATTGTTACGAGCTTGAGGTTCGTGACAATAAAAATTGCCGATAGAATTACCTAAATTAACACTTTAATTCCCTTTACACTAATTAAAGTTAAAAACACTAATAATTAATCACACTGATTCACTTAATTCCGCTCCGAAACTTCGCTTGTCTCGCCAAGTCCAATACTTCCTCGATCGCACCTTGCAACGCCTATAAATACACATTAGTACCGAATCATCCAGAACATTCAAGTAAATACGCGCACCGATCGACAAAGCGTCGAAAATTCGAGAGTCAGCTTCCAGAAGCTTAGTTCTTCTGTTCGATACTAGATGGCGCTAGTGCCGTCGACTTCGGCGCGTAACACTGCCCCCTCCTAAGACATGCTCGTCCCGAGCATTATCGGCCCCATAATGTCGCGCCTGGCGATCCACATGGACGATCTTAGGAGTCCCTCTTGCGCCTTTGTGTAACGGCTCCGCGATGTCAAGGGATGTCCTATCCCATGGTGCACCAACATTGTACAATTTCAGTGCTCCTCTACTACGTGTCTGAGGTCCCCGCACGGCCGCACAACTTGTATATGTACGACACCAAGCCTCGACATCGTCACGATAATGGACCCAGTAAAACTGTTCTCGGACCTTCAGCAGAGTCCGTTTAACTCCCAGATGGACTCTTGAACGGCCATTATGGCACAGCTGTAGAACATTCGGCACTTTAGCCTTAGGGACAACCATTAGCAAACGACAGCTGTCTCCTCGACAATTGTCTCATTTACGGCACAGGACTCCACTCTGAATTAGCAAGCTGTCCCATTGGGCCCAATAGCTTTTCGTGGTTGAACTCATCGCTGAGACGTCGCTCCACTTAGGCTTGGTAGCACGGGCCTTCATCCATTCCAGAATCGGCTTGATGTCCGGATCTTCCTGCTGTGCATGTCGTAGGCTGTCCTTCCACCCGTTGCTGAGGTGGTCTGTCCTGAGCATCCTCACGGATACCACTTCCTTCCTCTCTTGCCTAGTACAATGTTTCCGATCTTCAGGACAAGGTCTTCTTGACCATGCATCTGCGTTGCCATGAGATTTCCCGCTGCGATGTCTGATAGTAAAGTCGTATCCCGGCTGCTGCTGGGCGGTGATGTTAGCCGCACTTCCCTTCTGAGATCGTTCACCTTCCCTTTCTAGAGTTCGCTTAGGGCAGCTGGATCGAAGATGGCCCCTTTCCCCACAGCCATAGCACCTAGGGCTGTACACTTTATTGTGGTCGCGAACCGTAGCTGCTGCAACCTCCCTAGCGCAAGGGGAACGACGATCCTGCCACCGCAGGCGGTGCCGTTAGCTGCACTACCCTCTCGAGATCGATCAACTCTCCTTACTACAGTTCGCTTAGGGCAGCTCGAGCGAAGATGGCCCCTTTCCCCACAGCCATAGCACCTAGGGCTGTATCCTTTGTTGCGGTCGCGTACTGTAGCTGCTGCAACCTCCCTGATGCGATGGGAACGATGATCCTGCCGCACGGCTTCCACCTCCAGTGCATGGACCAATGCGTCCTTAAGCGTGTCGTGGTGCCAGAGTCTCACAGCAGCTCTGACTTCAAGGTCGCGGATGCCGTCGATGAATGTCTGAACCAGGTTCCCTTCCATGAGCGCAGGTATGCTTTTCGAACCATCTTCTTCATCTCAAGGGCCTACTGCTGCAGGTTTCAGGTGAGCGTCGCCATATCTCGCCTCCAAGGCCTCAAGAAGCTGCTCGTAGGTCACTTTCTTACCGAGAGCTTCCAATACAGTTAAGGCTTGGTCGCGCAGGCCCAGGGTGAGTGCAGTCATGGCTTGGCTTTTATTCCAGCCGTTCGCCTCCATGACGGCCTCGAACTGGATTTTGTAGGCCGACCAGGAAGAGGTCCCGTCGAACGGCGGCACTTTGAATCCACGTAGCGAAGGTGTTGTAGCTACTACGGGAGCTGTTGTTCCATCCCCAAGTTTGAGGTCGTCCAGCGTTTTCTTCACGTCAGCCATTACGTTGTCAACCCGATTGTTTACTTGGTCGATTCGGGTTTCGGCCTCCGACAGGCGGTTGTCATGTCGAGCAACCTTATCCTTCACCTCCCGTATCTCTTTTCCGTTTTCCGAAGATAGCGTGAAGGTCCTTCATGAGGAGCATCTGCTCTTCCTTATCGCGTTGGAGTTGCTCTTCTAAACAACGGGCCTGTTCCTCCCGCCGGCGGGCTTGTTCCTCCTGCCGGCGGGCCTGTTCCTGCTGCCGGCGGGCCTGTTCCTCCTGTCCGCCCCGCAGCTGCTCTTCCAATCGGCGGGCCTGTTCCTCCTGTCCACCCCGCAGCTTCTCTTCCAAACGACGGACCTGTTCCTCCTGTCGGCGAGCCTGCTCCTGCAGCATCACCATCAGAGCACCTAAGTCAGGTGCTGCAGATGTAGGAGCTATTGACGGGCCTGCAGCCGGCGGCTGGCCCTCCGACGTCTGCGGCGTTGTACCACCAAATCTTCTTTGGTCCGTCTCCTGCTGGCGTTGACTTCGGGTACGGACACCCTCCGTTTCCTCCTTAGGTAAAATCGGCATGATTTTATCCCACTTCTGACACCAATTGTTACGAGCTTAAGGTTCGTGACAATAAAAATTGCCGATAGAATTACCTAAATTAACACTTTAATTCCCTTTACACTAATTAAAGTTAAAAACACTAATAATTAATCACACTGATTCACTTAATTCCGCTCCGAAGCTACGCTTGTCTCGCCAAATCCAATACTTCCTCGATCGCACCTTGCAACGCCTATAAATACACATTAGTACCGAATCATCCAGAACATTCAAGTAAATACGCGCACCGATCGACAAAGCGTCGAAAATTCGAGAGTCAGCTTCCAGAAGCTTAGTTCTTCTGTTCGATACTAGATGGCGCTAGTGCCGTGGACTTCGGCGCGTAACAATATAATTATAATCGAATGTCATCAATCAATCAAATTGACATAGGTAAGTACAGATAAAATTAGCGGAACATTAATAAAATTTTGAGATCGTTTTTTTTTCAAAATTTTATTTATATTCCGCTATTTTTGTCTGTGCAATTGTGCAATTTGATTTACATTCGATCTCTAAATTGTAGTTTGCGAGGGTAACGGGGATCTATCAGCTCCGGCAAAACACATTTCTGATAAAAGCTATCTAATTTTAAAATTTTGTCTGCCGTCCAAAACGCATCATCTTTTTCAATAATATCAATTTCTATGCCAAACAGAGTAGTATCGAAATCCAAAGTTCAAGCAGGGGTGAATGTAGCGTAGTAATTTAGAGCGCAGGTATAGCTATAGTCATACGAACGTCACAGGCCGCAGCTGACTGAGTCGAATAAAACTAGAATAAGCGCGCGTCACCGAGCATGCATGTGTGTGTAAGTGTCGTCCTCCCGCACCGCACCGGGGGAAACATTATTCAGTGAGATGCACGATAATTCATATAAACACGCGCGCGTAAAAAAAAATACGAAAAGTAAAAAACGAATTAATTTACGGACTCCTATCCAGATGTTTACTAGGAGAATACAAAGTTTATTTCATTTTTGTAATATGGCTAATTATTAATTAGGCAGGAATTTCTAAGATTAATAACTAATTAACTAAGATTAAGGTTAAGAACTAAGATTAAGATTAATGATAAGATAGGAACTGATTTAATATAAGGTTTACATTTACAATGTTCCGAAATAAATAAATAAATAATTGACCATGAATGAGTAAAAATAATATCTTTTATTTTACAGTATCTAATGTTATAATATAAGGTGCTTCTAAAATATATGCCACGGTTGTTTGTATGGAGACTTGGCCAATCAGCTGACTGATTTCCATACAAAGTGCAATTTTTTTTGAGAATTGACTATGGGTTCTTTGGGGAAAGTGATACAGTATCATGAGTAGAACCACCAGTTGCAGCTATGGTATATTGTAGTTTAGAAGCACCTTATATTTCAGTTAAAATAAGTGCAAGTAGGTATTATTTTTCTTGTACCGAATTTCGGCCCATCTCTAATATATATATATATATATATATATATATATATATATATATATTGAGATTCTAAATTGAGAATTTAAACTATACGCGTGTGTGTGTTTGTGTGTATATAAAGAGGGCTACTTTTAATATCGCTCATTTTAATATCAAAAATTTAGGTTATCTTTATAGCAGTATTATATTTTCAATTCAAAATTAGTACTACATTTGTGATAATAATAAAATGTATGTATATAGAGTACTCACTCATTTTCTTTCACTATTATTTCGTGACTTTCTTCATTAATAATAAATGCACTTTGTTCATTCATATTCAAAACACTTTATACACAAACACCGTGTCGAAGACTGCCGAAAAAAGAAACGACGTTAGACAATGCACGGCCTTCAAGCCACACCTCCGTGCCCGTCGGAGTGGGGAGCGTGAGGTTTTTTCGTTACGGCGGAATAAATTTCTGGATTCGGTCCCCACGCTCAAGGCCCGCGATAGAAGCTATGCAATAGCTTAATAAATAGGTGGGTATATATAACAAAGTAAAAATAAGCAAATTCATCGCGTATGGTATCAAAGTGAGCTTTGGGCTCTCGCGGCAAGTTAACGTTGTCTGCTTGGCCATCCGTACGTATAATTAAACTTACGAAAACCTGTGTTGGATTTTTGATAACTTGTTTAGTTGCACTTTGTTTAGCTAATGAAAAGGACGTGTTTTCCTACCAAAATTAATAGTAAACCGAGTACTTCTAAGCGTTCTAGTAGCGTCAAAAAGACATCGTTTTGCAAAAAAAGACGTAACAGTAGTGATGAAGGTGAAGGAATTGACATGGATTTCTTAGAATTTTCGAGTGATGAAGAGGTTTATTCGCAATGTGATTATGAAGATGGATCATCTGAAGAGGAAAGTGATGACGTGATGGTTACGATACTCGGAAACAACCTGAAAGGATAAAGCATATATTGAACACTCTCCAGAAGTCAAGTTCAGCCTTGACGTCAACAAATTCAAATAACATAGCTTCTAAGCCACGTCCATCGCATGTGTCAGCGAAATTGTCCTCTGCTTCAAAAATGGTAGATGATATTATGCCGCAATCTCCTAAGGAAATGGAGGATGAGCTTATGCTACAACCACCACCAGCAAATAGCCGGCATATCCCTTCCATAGAACAGGATTACAATGAACTTCCTGACATATCTGATTATCTATTACGAGAGAATATGTCTACCCCTAGTTTTTCCCTGTTAAGATCGGACGTGCCTACTCCCGACTACTGTGATGGCAATTTAGCATCCGAACCTCATAATTCACCTAGCTCGTCTTTGCCTCACTCGCCTATTCGTAATATTGCGGAAAACTTACCCTCTCGAAAAGAATCTTCAGAACGTGGTGATTTAGTCGGTCCGTCTATTTTCCGTTCGCGAATTCCAAATAATGCAGAAAATTTACTCTCGAGAGAGGTAGCTGCAGCTATTCGAAATGAAGAAAATGTAGGGTAGGTACATTTTCTTCGTTTCGTGTGCGAATTTCTTCGTTTCGAATAAGCTACCTCTCTGAAAATGAGGGTAGTACATTTCTTTCGTTTGATTGGTGGTATTTTCTTCGTTCGAATATCAGCTACCTCTCCGAAAAGTAGGGTAGGTACATTTTCTTCGTTGAAGCTGCGCTACTCTCTCGAAAATGTAGGGTAGGTACATTTTCTTCGTTTCGAATAGCTGCACCTCTCGAAAATGTAGGGTAGGTACATTTTCTTCGTTTCGAATAGCTGATTAGTAGTTAATCTAGATTGCCCTACAGAAACTTGGAGCACTGATCGAAGCTCAATGAAGACAATTTACTTTACTCAGTCACAAGAGCTACTAGTACCGCCTCCAGCGAATCCTTTTGAAGCATTGAGACTTTTGATTAATGATAAATTGATAGACCTAATTGTGCAAGAAACTAACGCTCACGCAGTAAGAGTACTATCTTCACCTGGTGTAACAGATCAATCAAGAATCACACGCTGGAAGGATGTAACACGTGAAGAACTTTGGACATTTTTTGGACTGCTCCTGCATACAGGAACAATTCGCCGAAATAGGCTAAGTGATTATTGGAAAAAGCACTGGCTATTTAAATGACCAGTTGTTCTCGTCACGTGCCGAGAAACCGGTTTATGTTAATACTACGTTGCCTACACTTCTCTTCTGATTCAAATGAGGAAGATAGGTTGGTTCCAATTCGCCCAATCATGAACCATTTTAATGAGACGATGAAACGTATTTACAGTCCAGGTAAACAATTATCGCTTGACGAGTCGATGGTTTTATGGCGAGGTCGACTTATATTTCGGCAATATATTAAAAACAAGCGCCACAAATACAGTATAAAGTTATATGTTCTGACGGAACCGGATGACACGGTCTTGAATTTTCAAGTATATAGTGGTGCAAATGATACTACCTCAGGAAAAGGACACACAGAAAAAATTATCCTGAAATTGCTCGAAGAAAGATTAGACTACGGCCACAGTATATACATGGATAATTATTATAATTCCTACAATATGGCAGTAAAATTACTGGAACGAAAAACTTACTGCACAGGCACCTTGGGAAAAAACAGAAAATATAATCCAGTGGATCTCGGTTCAGTCACACTCAGAAAGGGAGAAACAAATCATCGTTCTTGAATGGTGTCCACATCGGTAAGTGGAGAGACAAACGGAATGTGCTCTATATATCCACGGAACATGACGACGAGATGGTAGAAGTCACTAGCAAAAGGGGCCAAGTGTTGCTAAAACCCTCAGCTATCGTCCATTACAATAGCTTTATGTCTGGGGTAGACCTTCAGGACCAAATGTTGGCCTATTACCCATGCCAAAGAAAGACGCTGCGCTGGTACAAAAAACTTTTTGTACATATTCTGCAAATGAGCCTAAGTAACGCGTTTTACTTATTTAATAAATACTCAAATTCCGACAAGATGAACCTCTATGATTCTAGAATGACTATCTTAGAAAATCTTTTACCTCAAGCTGTACCAACGGAGCAAATTAAGTTAAAAATTCAACACAATTTGACGAAAATAGAAAACTTTAAATTACGTGAAAAACGAGATGGTAATTCCACAAAAATTACTAAAGAAATCATCAGGAAGGAGTGCAAGGGCTACAGAGCCAAGAAGAAAAGAGTAGCTACCTTATACGAGTGCAAAGGATGTGATGCATCCCCAGGATATTGTACAGCATGTTTTAGCAATGTCCACTCTTAAAGTGTGTTATGTATTTAATATATTGTGTATATATGTGCCTTATTTACCTACCTTCTTATGTTTTAAATTAATAAAAAATGTTTGTTGTTTACACTATCTATCATTTTATGGGGTGATCATTATGGTGCAAAAGGAGCAGAAGTACTTACTGTAATAATAACATGTTCTTTATTGCACAACCCTCGCCAACACGGATCCGTGTAGCTGGCCACACGCATGTTATTGGCCTGATACACGGATCCGTGTTGGCGATAATAATTATAGAATAACAATAATAATAAATAAATGAATATTATTACATAGTCCTAATTTATGTTTTCTTACATACACTCAATATTTTTATAAATTTTTATGTGGGCCCCCGTGGTTATCATTGATATTTAAAAGGGCATTCAATGTGTTAATAAAAATATACAGTGTTTGCCAAGCTTCGCAACCATGGCAAATACAATGCACGAAAATCTATGAGAGAGCAGGGGGATTATGATAGAATGTATTGAATGAATTATATGAATGAATGAGAAACCAATTAGGGCAAATAATATTACGCTCACCAGATGCCGCTAGGTGAGAACGACGTGAACTTATATGTTACGCAAACGTTCGTATAGTGATACAATGTCGTCAGTATGAAAAAGTTGTGATTGAAATAAAAGTTTTTCAGTTTCTAGTGCATGATTATAAATAAAACAAAGCGTCCGTGTTGGTCTTAAGTGTTTTTTTAATTTTTCACATTTTTAATAGAATAATGGTGACAAATGAGCATATTATAGTCCACCTGATGGTAAGTGGATGCTGTGGCCCATAGACAGCATTTAACCTGGATTAAGAATCAAAATGAAGATGCGTTGTCACCCCAGAGGACTAAGATGGAATGCCTCGATTCCAGTAAAAAGGGTCTCCGGTTCTCTACACTCACCATATGAAACACAGCATAATTACGCTGCTATTTTACGCTGGTATTCTGTGAGAGCGTGGTCCTACCCTGTACGAGCCGACCCTTTCCCGACCAAACATAATATAGCTGACTAAAAACTTATTTGTTATGCAAATATTCTTAAAAAAGTGTTGTCATCATTAAGAAGCTGCGATTGAAATAAAAGTTTTGCGGTTTCTTTAATTTTTTACATACTTTTTTTAAAATTCTTCTACTTTTATTTTTAATATTAGTAGTTTGGTTTATCCATTTTTAATCTATGTCGTTCTGAAATAATATTTTCAATTATAAAATAAAATTGTTAATTGCAATTTTAAGTGCTGATTTACCACGTGCTCGACGGGGAAGGAAAACATCGTTAGGAAACATGTCAGAGGAACAAGAAAAAAATATATCGAAGACATGTGAAGTTCGTCAACACGCATTGGGGCAGCGCGGCGGACATATCCTAGCCCTAAAAACTGTCTCAGAAAGGAGAGGAAGCTTGTGCCCAGCCGTGGGACGTATATATGCTCCGTGGCGCAGTGGCTTAGCAATGAGTGGCTGCGCTGGGGGCCGCGGGTTCGAATCCCGCACGGAACAAGTATTTGTATGGCCTACAAGTAATTGTTCCTGGTCTGGATGTTTGTTCTTGTGCAATTTATGTTTGTAAACTGCCTCCACGATACTGGAGAAAATCCTAGTGTAGGAATAACGTTTAAAAAAATTAATATTTCCGAAAGAAACATTAATTTTTACACTTTTCTAACAAATTAACTTAAGCCGCTATGAAATATGTCAAATATTACACCTCATTTTAAAGTGGTGTCGCCGTGTTGGCAGAAAATGTCGTGGATGACCTCACTACGATATAGTATAAAAATTTTATGACTACTGCTCAGGATTAATGCGGTTTTTTTTTAATTCAATAAACCCTAAGTTTTTGTTAAAACAGTGGACCCCCGGTAATCCGACATGTCTTTAACTTGTAGGTAGATTCGAGTCGGTATTCTTAGCGAATACGTGGACAAACAAGTTGCAATTAGTTTGCACCACCACGAATCTAGCTTGACGTGTATTGTCTCAGTTCAAATGTGATTATGGTATCGGCCTAGCTGGATTTCATTATTTACTGTTTAGATATTCACTATTCATTGTGCATCACATGACATTTTTATTTTTTATATTTTTTATTTGATATGTAATCTGTCGGATTACAAGATATTTTTTTTTTCAGTACTCTATAGTCCGAAAAATTCGATAGTCCGACACCGCCATGCAAAACGTTTGTCGGATTACCGCGGGTCAACCGTAACTACTATTGTAACGAATAAATAAAATAGCAGTACCATGTTCACTTTTAGCAGATACGTAAAAATGGGCATATTACGGATAAACATACAAATAGTTAACAATTTTAAAATCTATCATCATCATCATCATCATTTCAACGCCTCACAAGTTCACTGCTGAACGTAGGCCTCTCCTAAGCAACCATGCTCCTGAGACACCAGGTCGTCGCTCCATCTAGTCAACAGTAGTAGTAGTAGGGGCAGGCCCACACTTCGCCTACCAGTACGCGGCTGCCACTCGAAAACCTTTCTTTTCCATCGGTTGTCGGTTTTTTGAGCTACATAGACGGCCCTTTGCCTCCAACTTCCTAATCCTTTCAGCTATATCGTTTACTCTGGTTCTACTGCGGATATCCTCATTTCAAAGATTATCACGCAGAGAAAGTTCGAGCATTTATGTTAACTATAAATTAAGAACAGCACTTCACTCTGTATCAAACCACAGCAGTAAAGTACGTCCTGTTTAAAGATTAAAACAATATACTAAATGTAAAAAAAGATTGTATACAAAAAAAAAAGAATGTATGAAAACATATTCCGTTTTTTTTTTATAGAATAACTTCGATTTGTCAAAGATTTTATTAACCGTTTATTCCGGAGTACACAGTCCACCGGATGGTGAGTGGATGCTGTGACCCATAATTTATCCTTGATTAAGAATCGAAATGCAGATGCGTTGTCACCCGTGAGGACTAAGATGGAATGCCTCGTTTCCAGTAAAAAGGGTTCTTTACACTTAACATACGAAACACCGAAGCATTAAAATGTTATTTTACGCTGGTATTCTGTGAGAGCGTGGTCCTACCCCGGTCGAGCCGACCCATTAATGCTACAACCATAATATAGCTCCAGCGTGGCTCTACCACGTATACATACTTATATGAATGACCATGGTCGCGGGGATGCTGCAAAGCATCCGGAACGTCGGGAATTAAAAATAAGTAGAATTTGACGGGATATAATCCGTGAAAGTAGTTGTATTTAATGATTACTAGATACATATATTAACAAGGTTTAACTTTGTCCTCTGTGAGTTTTTTACTGTATGTGAAGAGCCTAAGTCTATCTTAGCGGATAGTGATATATTTAGGTGCCCTAAGTCCAGACTTCATGAATTATGCACTCCCGAACCTACCTCAATGTCATTTTAAAAAACGCGAGAGAGCGCATTATCTTGCAAAAACGTCACAAAGTTTTAAGGTTTCTTTACATTAGAGCCGAATTCGCGACGCGAAAAATATTGTAAGTTGTGTAACGTTCGTTACTAACTCTGTTACCATTCTTTGAACCTAGGGTTCCCAAAGTTATAAGAGTTAGGACCCTCGCTACAATATAATATTTCGCCCACCCTGTCGTATTTTATTTATCTTCTTTTGAATATTGTTATTTTTTATGGAAGTTAACTCTGACGGTAACGGGACGAAGAGGTGGACCAACTCATGTTATGCGTAAGGTCTTCCCCTACTTGAGTAAGGGTAGGTCCAAGTCGTATCGCATTATACCCGAGAGTGATACACCCTGAGACGAGAAGGTGGAACATCTGTGCCTGTCACTCAGTGTGAGTTCTCTGTTAAAAGGTTGTTATTATGGGTGGGAGGTCTATTAGATAGAAACCTACATATTGTCTTTCAATTTATTTTTATAGGATGGGATGACAAACGAGCACACAGTCCACCTGATAGTAAATTGCTACTGTGGCCCATAGACATCTACATCTATCCTCGATTACGACTCAAAATGCAGATGCGTTTTGCATCCGTGAGGACTTAGGTGGAATGCCTCGTTTCCAGTAAAAAGGGTCTCCGGTTCTCTACACTCACCATACGAAACACAGCAGCGTTAAGCTACTATTTGACGCTGGTGATTCGCTGGTCGAGCCGACCCATTCGTGCTACAACTATACTACTAATGTAACTGCAACATGATGTAAAAAAATTCAAAAACATCAAGCCAAGTTTAAGGTTTTTTTATTTGGCCCATGCACCGAAACCAAACTTACCATTACCTTACCTTACCAAACAAATGTCACGCGACCCTCTTTACGGGCATCTACGCTCTTCATCAGGTATACGCGACCGACTTTAAAAAACCACTATAAAGTTGAAACAGTCCATGGCCGTTCGTGTTTCTCTCATTGCGAACAGGGAGGTTAACCCGACCACTTTGGACGTCTTTTTTAAAATTAAATTAAAGTGGCATCCAAACTAACAATCCATCAGATGATAACTGGTTACCGCAGCCAATGAACAGCTGTAACCAACCTTTTTTTATACCATTGGGTGACAAACGAGCACACAGTCCACCCGATAGCAAGTGGATACTGTGGTCCATAGACATCCACATTTATCCTCAATTGAGGATCAAAACGCAAATGTATTGTCACCCCGTGAGGACTAAGATGGAATGCCTCGATTCCAGTAAAAGGGTCTCCGGTTCTCTGCACTCAACGTACGAAATACAGCAGCATTACGCTTCTATTGTGCGCTGGTATTCTGTGAGAGCGTGGTACTTCCCCGATCGAGCCGACCCATTCGTGCTACAACTATACTACTAATATAACTGCAGCATGGCTCTAAAATGTAAGAAGTAGTTCTATACAAAAATATAAATACTTTTGTATAGAACTACTTAAAGGCCAAAAGAACTACATAAATACAAAAAGGCCACAGTTGCTTTGTTACATCCGATGACTATGATGGAATATCACGCAGCCTTTCATCTTTCTATACTCT